CTGGAGTACATCAGCGGGGAGATGTGCGTGCGCTTTGGGGCGAAAAATGGGGATTTTGGGCAAAAATGGGCAAAATTGGGAAAAATGGGGAAAAAAGGGAAAAATTAGGGAAATAATTAGGGAAAATGGAGGGGGAAAATGGGGGAATGGCTGGAGTACATCAGCGGGGAGATGTGCGTTCAATTTGGGGTGAAAAACAGCAATTTTGGGCAAAAATGGGGAAAACTGGAAAGAAATGGAGGGAAATGGAAAAAAAATGGGAAAAAGGATGAAAAATTGGGGGAAAATGGGAAAAAATAGGGAAAAAAAAGGGGGTAAAATGGCTGGAGTACATCACCAGGGAGATGTGGGTTTGGTTTGGGGTAAAAAATGGACATTTTTGGGAAAAATAGGGAAAAGGGGGAAAATAGGGGAAAAATGAAGGACAAAAGGGGAGAAATGGGGAAAATGGAGGAAAATTGGGAAAAATTGGGGGAAAATGGGGGGGAAATGGCTGGACTACATCACGGGGGAGATGTAGTTTATTTTGGGGTGAAAAATGGGAATTTTGGGCAAAAATGGTGAAAAAACGGGAAAAAAAAGGGGATTTTTCCTCCCAAAATTCCCATTCCCCCTCCCAAAATTCCCAATTTCTCCTCCTAAAATCCCCATTCTTTTACCCAAATTCCCCATTTCCCCCCCAAATCCCCATTTTCCCCTCCTAAAATTCCAATTTTCCCCAAAAAATCCTCATTTTATTTTCCAAAATCCCCATTTCCCCCCAAAATCCCCGTTTTTCCCCAAAATCCCCATTTCCCCTCCCAAAATCCCCATTTCTCCCCCCAAAATCCCCATTTTCCCCCCAAAATCCCCATTTCCCCCCAAAATTCCCATTTTCCGTCCAAAATCCCCATTTTGCCCTCCTAAAATTCTAATTTTCCCCCAAAAAAATCCTCATTTTATTTCCCAAAATCCCCATTTCGCCCAAAAAATCCTCATTTTATTTCCCAAAATCCCCATTTTTTACCCAAAATCCCCATTTTTTACCTAAAATCCCCATTTTTTACCCAAAATCCCCATTTTTCCCCAAAAATCCCCATTTCTCCCTCCAAAATCCCCCCCAATTCCCCCCCTCCCACCAACCCCCGTTTTTGCCCGAAATCCCCGTTTTTCCCCCCAAATTCCCCATTTCCCCCCAATCCCCGTTTTTGCCCGAAATCCCCGTTTTTGCCCGAAATCCCCGTTTTCCCCCCAATCCCCGTTTTTGCCCGAAATCCCCGTTTTTGCCCCCAGGAAGCGCTACGAGCAGCAGATGCAGGAGCTGGAGCGGCGCTCGGAGCAGCAGCGGGAGCTGCTGGGGCGGCTCCAGCAGGAGCTCCAGGCCAAGCCCTGAGCACCCCCAAATTTTGGGGACCCCCCCAAAAAATTTGGGGAATCCCCCAAAATCTTGGAACCCCCCAGATCCCAAAAATCCCGATTAAATTCCCAAAAAATGCCCCAAAATCTGGACTTTTGTCTCATTGTGGTGATAAACTCCCAAATTTTGGGGGATCCTGAGCACCCCCAAAATTTTGGGGACCCCCACAAAAAAATTTGGGGAATCCCCCAAAATCTTGGATGCTCCAGATCCCAAAAATCCCAATTAAAATCCAGAAAAATGCCCCAAAATTGGGGATTTTTTTGTCCCATTTTGGGGTTAAATTCCCAAATTTCAGGAGAATTTTGGGGGGTCTTGAGCACCCCAAAAATTTGGGGACCTCCCCAAAATTTTCAGACCTCCCCTGGCACCCCCAGAGCCCAAAAATCCCGCTGGAAATTGGGTCCAAATCCCCCAAAATCGGGAAATTTCCAATGCTGGGGGCGTGGTCAACGCACTGTGGGAGGGGCCAAGCGCCTTAAATAGAAAATGGGCGTGGCTAAAGCCCATATATGGAGATTTGTGATGTGGGGGCGTGGCTTCAATCCCTAATGGAAATGTTGGGGGTTGGGGGCGGGTTTAGGGTTGGGGGCGTGGCCAGAGCTCCATGGGCGTGGCCAGCGCCTCTGAGGAGGAAATTTTGGGGCGTCTTTGAGAGTTTGACCCCAAATTTTTGGGGTCCTTGAGGGGAATTTTGGGGCGTGGGGCGTGGCCGAAGCCCTTGAGGGGAATTTTGGGTCGATTTTGGGGGGTTTTGAGGTGAATTTGGGGTGGGGGCGTGGCCAGAGCTCAGTGGGCGTGGCCAGCGCCCCTGAGGGGGATATTTTGGGGCGTCTTTGAGAGTTTGACCCCAAATTTTTGGGGTCCCTGAGGGGAATTTTGGGGTTTGGGGTGTGGCCGAAGCGCCTGAGGGGAATTTTGGGTCAATTTTGGGGGATTTGGAGTCGATTTGGGGTGGGAGGCGTGGCCAGAGCTCGGTGGGCGTGGCCAGCGGCCCTGAGGGGGAAATTTTGGGGCGTCTTTGAGAGTTGGACCCCAAATTTTTGGGGTCCCTGAGGGGAATTTTGGGTTTTGGGGCGTGGCCGAAGCGCCTGAGGGGGATTTTGGGTCAATTTTGGGGGATTTGGAATCGATTTGGGGTGGGAGGCGTGGCCAGAGCTCGGTGGGCGTGGCCAGCGCCTCTGAGGGGGAAATTTTGGGGCGTCTTTGAGAGTTTGACCCCAAATTTTTGGGGTCCCTGAGGGGAATTTTGGGATGTGGGGCGTGGCCGAAGCCCTTGAGGGGAATTTTGGGTCGATTTTGGGGGGTTTTGAGTCGATTTGGGGTGTGGGCGTGGCCAGAGCTCGGTGGGCGTGGCCAGAGCTCGGTGGGCGTGGCCAGAGCCCCTGAGGGGGGAATTTTGAGGGGGTCTTTGAGAGTTTGACCCCAAATTTTTGGGGTCCCTGAGGGGAATTTTGGGTTTTGGGGCGTGGCCGAGGCCGCTGAGGGGAATTTTGGGGCGGTTTTGGGGCGTTTTTTGGGGTTTTGGGGCGGGTTTTGGGCAGTGGGCGGGGCCCGAAGCGAAAGCGAAAGCGATGGCGGGAGCGCGGCTGCTGCTGGCGGGTGAGGAGGGGCCCAAAAACCCCAAAATCGGCCCCAAAATCCGCCCCCGACCCCAAATCCCGGCCGATCCCAACCCTGGAACCACCCCCGACCCCCAAATCCTGGGAAATCCCCCCGAAATCCCCAAATCGGGACCCCAAAATCCGCCCCCGACCCCAAATCCCGGCGGATCCCAACCCTGGATCCCCCAAATCCTGGGAAATCCCCCCAAAATTTCCTGAAATCCCCAAAATCGGGACCCCAAAATCTGCCCCGACCCCAAATCCTGGGGAATCCCCCCAAAATTCCCCCAAATCAAATCCCGGCCGATCCCAACCCTGGAACCCCCAAGTCCTGGGAAATCCCCCCAAAATTCTCCAAAAACCCCAAAATCGGGACCCCAAAATCTGCCCCGACCCCAAATCCTGGGGAATCCCCCCAAAATTCCCCCAAATCCCCAAAATCCGGACCCCAAAACCGCCCCCGACCCCAAATCCCGGCGGATCCCAGCTCTGGATCCCCCAAATCCTGGGAAATCCCTCCAAAATCCCCCGAAATCCCCAAAATCGGGACCCCAAAATCCGGGACATTCCCCGAAGCCGGACCCCCAAATTCGGGACCCAAAATTACCCCAAATTCTTGTTTCTCCCCCCAAAACCGCCCCAAATCCGCCCGGGACCCCCAAAATCTCCCAATTCCCCGCCCTGGAACCCCCAAGCCCCCCCAGGACCCCCCAAACTCTCCCCAAATCCCCC